TCAATGTGCTGTATGAAATAACCTAGGTTGTGGTGATGCTGAACCTTGTGCCACTTGGGGTCTCAAATACCAGAATGGCTTCCCAATGTGGACAGTGTTTGGTGGAGCTCCCAGATGTAAATCAGGTTTGGAAGAAGGAGTGGCATCCACCTTCCTAAACCACATGCCTCTGGAAACTCTATGAACTTGGTGAAATGACGAGTTACGGAAAGGCATTAGGTCTTTTGTTCATAGAGTCGCTGTAAGTCGTACTCGACTCGATGGCAACCAACAACAACAATTATGACACCATCATTAAGGTGAGCATAATTTCAATATTGTGAAGTTAAAGCTATTTTAGCACATCTGGAGGTGCTTCTGTACTTTCTTACTCCTAAAAAAGTGCAACGATTGTATGTACTCTGTAGTAAGAGGGACATTTGACTAACTCACATTGGATACCAACTGTACCAAACTGTTCAGACTTATAATTTCTATTTTAAGACAAATTAAGGAAAACTTACTGTACTTGTATTCAGTTGAGATTACCACAAACACACAATGAACACAATTTCAACTTATTTTTTGGATACCACACAATTTGACACCTTTGAGGTTGGGCGTAGCAGCACTGGAAGTGCCCAGAATAGTGTCTGTGAGCTGACAGGTTAACAGCTACTCCACTTTGTCTCCAGCTCTACTTGCTATAGAGAAACCACTGGCCTCGCCCACGGGGGGACCTCAGAAGTCCTCACCCCACGCAGTGTCCCCAGCACGGTGCGGAGAATGTGGTTCCTGGCCCAAAGGCTGACAACGCCAAATCCTGTGTGTGACTGTGAGCAGTCTCTTCACCTGGCTGCACTTCCAAGTCTCTTCTACAAGGTGAGGGTGGAAATAATGCAGCCAATCTCAGAGAGCTCTGGTGGCCTAGTGCTAAGGAACTGCACTGCAAGCCCAGAAGCACATGGTTTAAATTCACCAGCTGCTGGGAGGGACGATGGACACTCTCCTCCCGTGTGATTAGTGCCGCTGAAAACCCAGGGGAGGATCAGCTGCGGGTCAGTTCCGACTCTGCGGTACACACCACCAGCACAATACATGAGAGGGCTGGACTCACTAGGTACGTTAAGCACGTAAGAGTTGATCCTGGCACGTGGTTGGAACTCAATACATGTGACCTATACTGTGGACAGGCAGGAGGACCAATCTATCTGTGTTGGAGGAAGTGTGTCCAGAAGTGAAGGGGCGACACTCCGCTCACATCCTTTGGACCTGGCATCAGCAGCTCGACCCTAGAGAAGGGCACTGTGCGTGGCAGAGGCTCAGCAGGGAGGAAGGTCCTCAATGGCATGGAGCGACACCATGTCTGCATCAGTGAAAGATAGCAACGCTCGTAGGCCCGGGGCAGGACCAGGTGGGGTTTTCTTCTCTTTTACACAGGGCAGCTGGGAGTTTAACTCACTTGATGGCACCTACAACATCAGAATTTTCCAAATATCGTAATTTAGTATTAAGAGAATCAAGACTTCTCTATTGCCTAGGAATGAAGGTCAACGACACTACAGCAATGTGGATGTTATAGGAGGAGTTCAAATACTGCATCCATTTCCCCAATGAGCAGAAGTCAGGTGGGAGAAGTCTTCGGACTCCTTGCTAGCTGCCCCGTGGGACGGAGGCCAGCACACCTTACCTGGAGTGTGCCTTGCGTCCCCTCACATCAGCTCAGGGCTCTGAACGCTCACTCTAAGGGTGGAAATACAGGATCAGGTAACGTGGCCTGTGGGAATATAACTGTGAGAGAGCATTACCCGCAGATCCTGCATGCTGCCTCCGCCTAATTGTTATTCTTCTCTGTCACCCTTGAGCCCAAAGTACATAATCGTCCACTAATTGTCCTCAAAGGGCTAACTGGCTGAAGCTCGTCAAGGACACAGCTATTTACCAACGAAGAGAGTCGGGCAAGTTTAGAAGGCCGCCTCGGCGTCCAGCCGTCCTACAGTCAAGAACCGGGTAAATACGACTGAGCAGTCGCACTAGAGAAAGCCGTAGACTAACACAACTGCTCGGCCGGCCTGGAGTCCAGTGCCAGCCTCTCCCAGGATGTAACTGTGCATGTACTTACGTAAATAAAGATTAAAAAGGCAGAAAAAGGAGAGAAGCAAAGGCCCTCCCCTTCCCTGACCACTGTGCAGGTGAGCACTGTGGACTCCGTCCCTCGAGGTGCTCGATGCAATTGGGAGAGAAGGCACAGGACGCAAATGGCCATGGCATGGACAGGAGCAGCCCACGCTCATGCTGTCGTCTCGTCCACTCGATGCATGGAGGCGTGTGTGTGTGTGCAGAGGAGCACTGCTACTCAGGGTCTCAACGCTGTGGCCTCCAGGCTGGTCCTCCAGGCACTTCTTAGCAGGCTTCTAACCGAGCCCTTAATAGCTTGCTTGACTCACAGCCTTCTCCATGCCTTTGAATGCCTTGGGTGGCAAGATGGATTACCGATGGGCGAGTGGTAGGAAGTTCTGCTACCAACCCAAAAGCATATGGTTCGAATCCACCAGCTGCTCAGCAGAAGAGAAATGGGCCAATTCCTCCTGTGCAATTTACTGCTTTTGAAAATCTGCTGGAGCTCTGAATTGGTTCTGACTCAGTAATATAAAACAACAACAATACTCCGTAAGTTATCAGTTCAAACCCACCATCCTCTCCACCAGAGAGAAAAATACAGCAAAATGTGCATTGGTTAACACCATCAGCAACACCACAGAGGGTCTCTGGGAGTAGGAGTCAACATGGCAGGTTTTCCAAAATAAGAATCTCTTTGACTCCCTATGGTGTCACCCCTCATGAAACCAGAGCACTCAGATCGGGGTGAGCCCACCAGGAGCCCCTCAGAAGGATGGTGTCCTTCGCAAAGACCAGCCAGCCACTCAAGACCCACAGGCAAAGCAGTCAGCACGGATGGAGAACTCGAAGGTAAATAATAAGGCCAAACGGCAGAAACTGTGGAGGGCTTGTTGCATAATGTATGTCTTTACATCACGAAAACCCCTATCAAAACACAAAAGAATGCACATTTAAAAAGTACAGCAATCAGGAGCTCCTCTTGGAAGTAACCCAGAACCAGTTCCGAGACCCCCGGGTCTTCACAAAGGAGCAAGTTCTGTCCCTCCCTCCATTTGAAGACCCCAGAAGCCCAGGAAGGATGGTGACAAACATTTGTTAAGAGAGCTCGAGGGTCCTCCCGAGAAGCACGTCAGTGCAAGTGGATCCCAAACCCACAGTAACTAAGCTCTGTCTGGGTCGTGGCCATGTTCCGTCCACTTCAGAGGCTGCCCATCTTTCTCCTGTGGGACTTCTGGTGGCTTTGAACCACCAATCTTTCAGTAAGAGGCTTCTTATGTTGTGCACTACACCAGCTGGCCCCTTCCAGGTAGGTACCAACCCACCGTCACCATCACCCACTGGCGAAGCTCTGCAGCTCAGGCACCCAGTGCAGGCAACTAGCATCGCCATCATTCATTAGACACAGCGCCTATCCTCAGTGTGAAGTCAGGGGACACACACGCCACTCGAGAAGGATGCCAGGATTTCTGCTGGCCACTGTGTGTCACATCATACATGCACCAGAATGACGACATGACAATGGACGTAAACCAAGAACTGTGTGTGGGTTTATTTTACATTTGAGAAAACAGTGGATTGAACTGCGTGAACCAAAATGTACTGTACAGGTATTAATGACAGAACATCAAAAGGCAAAATTAGCAGTGCAGTGCTGAGCTGGCTTCATTCATTCATTCATTTCTGTCTCATAGTTTCTTTTTTTCTTCTTTTAAGTACATGCACCCAGAAAGATGCAGGTACCAGTAAAATTTCTCTATTTAGATCAAGCCGCAGGAACTAAATTTTATTCAAAAATTGTGGTTTTACATTATATACACAGAAATTGAATATAAAATGACAATATAAAAAGTTAAAAGAGAAACCATACAGCCAGGAGGTACAAAGAAAGTTGAATAGATTAAAATGGGACGATATGTAACAGAGAGTCTTTTTTTTTTTTGTGGGTTTTTTTTTAAGCTGATGCTGGCAATTTACAAGGAAAGAATTCCATTGCCCCCCTCCCCCACTTTTATCCTCATTTACCAATGCAGCACACGATAGAAAGGTCAGCTTGTACCAAAGCTTACATTTGTAAATAACTATAAACCGCAGTATTTTACAGGAAAAAAGAAATAGCATTTGTACACATCTTTAAATAATAGCTTGCATACTTTTTTTACGTTTTTTGTTTTCATTTTTGCCCAAAGTGGCATTTTTCAGCTTCCAGAGGGTCTCAGCATAGTGGTGACTGGGATGTTTGTGGTGACCTGGCTGGTGCTGCTTTGTTTAAACATGTGCGGCTGTGACTCCTACCCCACGGTCCTACACGGCTCTCTGTCTTCCAGACACATGTTCCCGCACAAACCAGTCCTGCATATAAAAGCTTTTTTTTTAATTATTAAATAAGTTGTGTGTCTGACACAGCTTTTGATCTGAATGAGATGCCTTTAAGCCTTTTTATTATTTTTAAAATTTTTTTTCTTTGAGTGAAAGGCACAGAAATGCAATTACAGTCCTCACAGGGTTAAATTTGACACGACTTGGTTCTATGACCTTTATTGTCATGGCAACTTTGTAATTTTAGGATGTCTTTTTATCATGGTTATTTGTGTCTCTCTTTGACGCTAAATAAATGTCTCTGCATAGTGGGTGCCACTATTTCCTACAAAAGATAGCTTAACATCGAGAACAGATGTTGAAAATAAAGGTCAGACTTTGACTCACGGAAGAAAAAGAAAAGTAACATGCAAGGATCAGACAGAGCGCGTAGAAATGGAGCTACAAAACCGGTGGAAGGAAACCAAGGTCCAGACAGGTGGTCAGCAACCAAGGACGACACTGATTTCAGAGGCTCAGGCCAGGCCCCGTGCAGGACAACAGCGTTAGTGCAAAGCCCGGGCTGGCTCCCGCCCGGCTGGGTGCTATTGTTTCTCCAGCTCTGTGACGTAGATGAGGTGGTCCTCCGGGGACTTGCCATGCGTCTTGCTAAGGTGCAGTTTGACCGCGTGCTTGCTGGCAAAGGTCCGGCTACAGAGCCTGCACTGGAATGTGGAGCCCAGGTCCTCCTCCGCCGCCCCCAGGGCACCCAGCGGCTTGCCTGCGAGCACCTTGGTGGGGTTCTGCTCCTGCACCTGACTGAGCGGCAGCTTGGACAGGTCCTTCAAGCTGAAGCCCAGGTGCGTCTCCAGGTGGCTGACGTAGGTGGGCGCGGTCCTGAACTGAGAGGCACAATCGTTGCAAAAGAACACGGGGTGCCCCGTGTCGAGGTTCTTGAGGAACTTGGTCCCTCCTGTCCTGCGCAGCTGGTATTTGACATTGGCCAGCCAGTGACTGATGGTGGTCATGGACAGGCCTGTGAATTTGGAGATGTGCACCCGCTCCTGGGGACCAAGGTCGGACATGATGTACTTGCCCTCGGGCGTCTCCCGGAGACTGGACGCAAACTGGGCCTGCAGGATGAGCAGGTGCTGGGGGTTCCAATTGGACTGACGTCCCTTGCGCTTGTGCACGGGGGACAGCTCGTCCAGGGCCTCCTCAAAGCTGCTGCCGTCGGCGTCCGACTTCTCAGACACGGTGGAGGGCGTGGACGACTTGGGCGTCAGGCGGCCCGTGAGGTTCTTCACCATATCCGAGATGTCCATGAGCGCGCTCTCCCGCAGCGGTGACGCCACGGCCTCAGCCACCCCGGCCACCAGGGGCTTGCTCTTGGACTTGGTCAGGTCGATGGGCTGGTCACTGCTCTCGTAGTAGTAGCGGTCGATGGCATCGGCCTGCTTGCCGGGGGCACCGGGCTGGGCAGGCCTGTCTAGCACGCTGTTGCTGATCTTGTACAGCATGGCTAGTGGGTCCAGCGAGGGGCTGGCGGGCTTGGACACCTTGCCCAGGTGGGCGTTCATGATGGACTGCAGCGCACTCAGCGGGTTGATGAAGGGTGGCTCGGGCGAGTGCTCGGTGATGATGCCCAGGGCACTGCAGCCGTTGGCCACTTTGGCTTTCAGGGGCTCGGTGCCGTTCGGGGGGTGTACGTCACCGGGGGCCCCCTTCCTGGCCTTCCCTGCTTCCGTGTCTGGGCGCTTTCTGGGGGTTGGCTTGCTGCCCACGTCCTCAGCTCTGGGGAGATCTTTGTTCTCTTTCGCCACCGGGGACAAGGGCTTGTCTGGGGAGCCCTTCTCCTTCTCGGGGGCTGGCCGCTCCTCCTTGACGCACGCCCTGCCCGTCACCTTCTCCACTAGCTCCTCCATGGCCGACACGTTGCTGCGGTGTGGCGGGGGCGTGAGGCTGCCCGGCGAGGGCAGGAGTGCACTGTGCTCAGCCAGCGCCTTGGCCGGGCCATAGGCCGCTGGCACCTGCACGCTCGGCGGCGGCTTGGTGGCGCCCGGCAGCTGGTAGGCCGCGTGGATGCTAGGGTAGCCACCCCACGAGGGCGCGCCGTTCTGGGCCTTGCTGATGGCCGTGCTCACCGTGTTCTCCAGCGACTTGAGGATGTCCACGCCGCCCCGGGGGCTGTCGTCCAGGTCCTCCTCGCGCAGGTACTGGTACAGCGCGGTGGGCTCCAGCTTGGCGGCACTGTCCTCGCTCTCCTCCTTGATCTTCTTGTCCGCCTCACTGGCCACCGCGGGCGCCGTCTTGTCCCCGTCCTTGTCTGGCTCTTTCTTGTCCTCAGCCGTGGAGGAGCCGGCCGGCGAGTCGGGTTGCTTCTTGACGCCAGCAGGCGGCCGGGTGTGCGTGGTGGGGGGCAGTGGGATGGACTGGATCTTGTCCTCCACCACCGGGTCCAGCACCAGCTGCTTGCCCTTCTTGGAGGCGGACGTGGTGACCTTCAGGAAGTGGCCAGTGACCATCATGTGGGCCGTGAGCTGCTGCAGGGTGTCGTGGGAGCTCCCACACTCCATGCACTTCAGGATCTGCGCCTTGCGGGCCTCGAACTGCCAGGTGTAGCTCGCCCCATTCTGGTAGCCGTAGCGGTTGTTGGGGGTCACGTAGGGGTTGGCCGCCTTCTGGTCCTTCCCGGCCTCGGCCAGCGGGCCATCGGCGGCCGCCGTGGGCTCAGGCGAGCAGGGCGAGGTGAGCTCCTGCAGGGCGCGCTTCTTGGTGGAGGGCACGAGCTTGGTGATGGCGGGCACCGGCTCCTTGAGAGGCACTTTCTGGTAATGCTTGGTTTTGATCATGTGGACACTGAGGTCCTGCAGGGACTCGAAGGAGTGGCCGCAGTACATGCACTTGAGCACCTTCTGGGCATCCTCCTTGCCCTCCATCTCCATCAGCGACCGCTTCCTGGGCTTGGACCAGCGCTTGGCCTTCTCGGCGTCCTTGTCGCGGTTGTCGTCGCGGTAGTGGCCCGTCTCGTTCATGTGCACCGTCAGCTCCACCAGCGTGTCATAGGCGGCGCTGCAGTCCCTGCAGCGGAACTTGCTGGCGCCAGTGAACACGGAGCCGTACAACTTGTTGTTCTGCCGGTACAGTTGCACGGTGCTGAAGAGGCTGGGCTCGGGCAGCAGCCCGAATGACGACGTCTGCTGCAGCGTCTTGGCCAGCGCCGCCTGGTGCCAGTCGTAGCCGGAGCCGCCATGGCCGGTGCCCGTGCTGGCGCTGGTGCTGGTGCTCGTGGTGGCCGAGTGCGCGCCAGTGCTGGCGGCCGGTGGGGTGGCGGCCGGCGGGGCGCTGTCCTTCTGGCTGGCATCGCTGGTGCTGGTGGGCAGGCTGGGCTTCTTCAGGTCCAGGGCCAGGCTGGACCAGCAGGACTCAGAGAAGAGGTTGGCGTAGACGGCTTTGATCTGCGCCAGGCTGTCCTGGGGGTAGGAGACGGACTCGGGGCCCGGAGCATCCTCCTTCTCCTCGCGGGAGGAGGGCAGTTTGAAGTGGGGGGCCTGGTCACTGCCCTCGCTGAACGGCGACCCATAGCCCGCGTCCTGGTTGGTGGCCGTGCTGACCGGGGAGTTCTGGAAGCTCTGGGACTCCTTGACGTCGCCGTCCTCATTGCATGCGAACTCGCTCTCCTGCACGTCCAGGGGCTGGCCGTCCTCCTCCGGGGCTCCCTCATCGATCTCAGCCGCCTTCAGCTCCTCCTCGGGGACATAAGCTGGGAGAGACAAGGCAAGGCTGTCAGGTAAGGCGGACGGCCCTGAGGACACAGTCCCCAGCCCTCAGGAGACCCTCAACACGTGCTCAGCCCAGCGCCCCAACTGCCGGCTGGCCCACCATCCACCCACAGCAGACACGCCCCCTCCGGCACCCCACCTAACCAAGCCCACTGCCGACAAGTCAGTTCCCACTCACTGCGAGCCCCACATGGTCTCCATGGGGCAGCAGGAGGGTTTAAACCACTGACCTTCCCCTGAGCATCTGCGCGCTCCACCTCTGCATTACTCAGACCCTGTCCCCTCCTGAGCGGGCACATCCTCACCAAAGAAGCACAAGTGAATGGCCAGCGTGCAGTCCCCTCCTGAAGATGGCCCCCAGGCCACCAGAGCTGGGCATGGAGGGGTGGGGCCAGAGAGCTGCCCACAAGACTCCTCCTCGTGTCCCCCCGCCTGGCAGCACAGGCCCCTCCCACTGTCTGCAGCTAGCATCAGTCCCATCCATGCGTGGGGACCCCACTGTCAGTTCTCAGGAGGAAGGAGCGCATGGACTGTGCATTCCAGGAAGAACAGCACCCCTCGCTGGCCAGCAATGGGCTATCTGTCCTCTCTGAGGGGGTGCTGGTCAGCTCTGTACCCTAGCACTGCAGCCTCAGGCTAAACGGGGAGTCTGCTGGGCAGCCAGTCAGGTCTGCTGGTCCCAGGACACACACAGTTCTCTGTTCAGGGTCAGAAGATGGCAGGGTGGGCGGGGCGGTACCTGAGAGACCCCCAGGGGTCCACCGACTCCCCCATGCACTCCACGCTGCCTTCAAGGGGCCCGAGCTCCTCCCTTTCTGGCTCTGTGATGGGTAAGAACAGCTACCACAGGAGTCCCCAGGGCGGAACCCCTAAACCTGCTGAACCTCAGAGCTTCACTTAAGCACTCTCAAAGGAACAGCACCGTGAGCTGGAGCCCCATCCGCAGTGTGGGAAGAAGTTTCCAGAAAGTCCCAAGGAGAGGCTCTGCAATGACCTGGGAGGGTGTCTCATTAACTCTAAGTAGCCATTAGCACGTTATCACAGCCAGATCCTACGGGGCAGTGGCAAGGACACAGTATTTAAGGAGGGCTGACAGGAGGGGACGCAGGTCTCAGATGCCCGGGAGGGGACCTGAGGCAGCAGGAAGGACAAAAGGACGCTCACACCTGCGAGGGAAGGTGGTGGGAGTTCAGCGGCTCACACGACACACGTGCACCCACAGTCTATGCACACACGCGTGCACACATTCACATTTATCCAACCTGGTGCACTCACACGTGCATACACACAGAGCATGCACACATGTGTACACACTCACAGACACCCAAACTGGGGGGGGTATGCGCACACACAATTACACACAGAGAGTAGGCACACGTGTACATATACTCAGACATTTATCCAATCTGAGTGCACACACAGAGAGACGTGTACACACAGAGACCATGTACACATGCAGATATTCACAGGCATGACTCCACGTACGTGTGAGCACATATGCACAAAAGGACACACATGTACACACCATCATGTACCAAATCTACACACATGTACACACACTCGCAGATGTACTCAATTCTGTGCAAACTCTGTAGCTCACACTGTCCAGAGTCCTGGGACTGCTGTGGTACCCAGTGTACCCCAGTTCTACATCCTGGGTAGTGCGAAGCTCACATGACCTTGAGTGTACCCCAGGTCCGTGTCCCTGAATCTTGGGGTCCTATGGAGCTCACCCCACCCCAGCAGAGCCCTTCAGCACCGAGGATGAGTGGTCTGCCATCAGAGAAGCACATTACGAGAGGTGGCTGGCCCATCTGTGGACCAGTTCATCCTCTGGTGGCCATTCACAGGAAAGCGGGGGTGGGAGCCTGCCAGGGAGGGCCTGCTGGGGTGGGAGCCTGCCAGGGAGGGCCTGCTGGGGTGGGAGCCTGCCAGGGAGGGCCTGCTGGGGTGGGAGCCTGACAGGGAGGGCCTGCTGGGGTGGGAGCCTGCCAGGGAGGGCCTGCTGGGGTGGGAGCCTGCCAGGGAGGGCCTGCTGGGGTGGGAGCCTGCCAGGGAGGGCCTGGTGGGTCCCTGAGTCTCTGGCCAGTTCCGGCCTGAAGTCCTCTGAAGGCTTCCCCTGAGGCTCAAGCCAGACCCATCCTCTGCCCATGAAGACAGCACGAATGAATCTCAACCCAAAAGAACAAACCCAGGGCTGCCCTGGCACCTCGGAGGCCTGCTGAGCACTGGCTCATCCTGGCCCTGCTTACCGGGGAGGCCACCTGGACATCCTGCTCCATGACCCCAGACCACGAGTTCCTGATCTGCCTCGTTCCACCTGGCCAGAAGTGCCCCAGGTGAGGTGTTCATGACAAGCTACCGTGCATCACCTCACGAGTTCTACAACCTCAGCTGGAGAAATGACATCTGTCTCCAGAGGGACCTGCCCAGAGTGTCCTCCGCTTGCCCTGCAGGGACGTCCTGGCCCATGTTCACCCGGGCTGGGGCATCCACTGCCTTTGGGGGTGGGGAGGAGGAAGGAGCAGCTAGGTCCTGCCCGTGGGGAGCTTTGTTATAGAGACAGTGGCACTAACAAACACGGAGTGAAGGGCTGTGAAGGCAGGTGGTTGGCCTCCTCCGCTGCCCATCTGTGACACCAGTCCGTTCACATCACCCAGTCTCTGTTCTCAGTTAAAGCAAATGATGTCACAGGAGCAGAATGCATTCTAACCCTAGTCCCTTCTGGTGTCTTCTTTGAGATGCAGCTGAGAAGAATAGCTACTGGACGAAAATCCCAACCAACTGTGGGGCCATCTATGAGCGAACAACGACTGAACGGGCCAGGGCCACAAACAAGGCAGAACCTTCCCCCAGGACTCGGGCCCTGACTCAGCCCTCAACCTCCAAAAGCAAGACAGTTCTGTGGCCCTCAGTCACCCTCAAAACCTGGCACAGAGCTCTCCCCCACGGCTCATCTCAGAAGCAGACCTAGAGGGTGAACAATCCCGTTTGGTAGGCAGCTCTATCAGGTCAAAGGAGAAGCACAGGACAAAGCCTCGAAGGCAGAGGGGCAGAGGCATGAAGTGTGCGCTGCAGGAGGAAGTGGAAAAAGGGTGACTACACTGCGGGAATTAAACAGAATGTTTGTGGAAACAAAGTGTCGAATGGAAAACAAATTTGCTTTGCAAACTCACTCGAATCACTCAAATCGCTGTAAGAGGAAAGACAGAAACCCCTGCTCCTTAAGCAGCTCCCAGAGGCATTTCGTGAGGCCGCTGTAGGTGGGAACACCCAACTCAGAGGATGCTCACCAGACAGTGCCTGGAAGACCCCTCTCCTGCCATGCTCTCTCCATCACCGGCCTCACACCCCACGGTCTAGCCCTCGGTCCGTCCTGTTGTACCATCTGTGTGTTGTGTCAGCCCTTCCGTGGCTGTTGTGCAGGGCTCCGTCAGCCCGGCCACTCCCTCTTCCTACACCCCTCCTCCTAAGCGCTCTGCCTCCCCCTCCCCAAGGGGAGGCTCCAATGTCACCTCCTTTCAGAGGTCTAATCCCCTTCTGGAATCAACCATTCCCAGTGGAACTAGGAGATGTTTACCAAGCTGTCCTCAGCTTCATCTCAGAGCTCCTCATCCGACCTTACTGGTTCCAGACCGCACAATACAGCCATTAGCACATGCCGGGAGTCGCACTGGCTTCCCAGTGACGGTGAATTATGTGCAGGGTCTTATGTGGACAACAGTGTAGTGAAAAGTATGGGACATTGTAACAGTGCGACTCAGAGCCACAAAGTGAGCGATGCTCTTGGGAAAATGGTGCTGACACATCTACTGATGCGAACCAACCCAAACCTACCACCACTCAACTGGTTCCGATCGCAGCAACCACAGGGGACAGAGGAGAACTGGCCCAGGGGCTCCCAAGACTGGAAGTCTCTGTGGAAGCAGACAGCCTCCCCGTTCTCCCATAGGGCAGATGCTGGATTTGAACAACTGACCCTCCTGTTAGCAGCCTAGTGCCTAACAACTGTGTCACCAGAGTTTCCTGCTTGATGCAAGGTTGTCCCAGGCCTTCAGTCCATGGGAAACACGCTGGCAGTGCAGGGCAGAGAAACGAGCACTGACTGGAGAGGCGAAGGCTGCCCTGGGTGGGCCCAGTCGGCATTTTCCTCTTTCTGCCCTATTTGCCCCTCAGGTAAGAAACGTCCATTCTGCAGATGAGAAAGCCAAGTCTCCTACAGCCGAATGACTTCCCCAGGTCACCTTCACTGCAGGACTGAGGCGGGCGTGGAATCCTGGCACCACACCGGCCACAGACTCTGCCCTTTGTCTCTCGGGCACCCACTGCCACGCAAGGATTTGACTTTGGGTGAGCAGACAGTATTAGGAACTTACCCTCGTAAAGGGCCTGCCCTGCTGCAGTGACAGAGTCTCAAAGGAGGTGAAGAAGAAGGGGACATGTCTAACTGTTGGCCCCCCACCCAGGCAAGAATTCTGCTTCTAGCTGTGGACATGGCAGGTGCAACAGCTGGTTCCACCTCGCGGCCACCGCACACACGGACTAAAGGCTGCCTGTTCCTGCCCCGTCGGCACAGTCCTGGCTGGGCCCGAGCCCAGAGCTGCTCCCGTGTCAATCCACGTCACCAGCGTCTCCCCCTTCCCACTGACCTCTGCTGCTCCGCGCACAGGCTTCTCGGGGTACAGCGGGAGTCACGGGGATTAGAGAAAAGGCTTCTGTACAGAGACGGCCTCACAGCGCTACACCTAGAACCTGTCACAGTCTCAGCAGTCTACGGGACTGGAAGCAAAGGGAATGGGGCTGCTTAGCAAAAGGTTCGTGGTTTGAAGCTCCCTGGGAGACAGGTGAGCTCAGCTCCTCCTTGCCTTAAGGATGTGGAATTCCTATGAAGGGTCGCCGTAGGTCAGAGCTGGCCAGGCGGTAGGGAGTTTGGCCTTTTGGTCTGCTTCTGGTTTAAGCACTCGAGCACCTGTCAGATCCTGGAGACAACACGGGCCCAGGAAACGTCACAGGGTTGTGCAGACGGTACCAGTGACAAATGTCCATCCTCAGTATATTTACTACAAGAAGTAAAAGAAATATATTCAAATTCTGTAAATAAACTAGTATAATAAAATGTTTTTAGAAAAGAAGTAAAAGGAAACAAGGGGGTGAAAAGTTCTTTTTAAAATGACAAAGGAGGTGAGCAAAGCCAGGGAGAAAGGGTGGGGCCAGGCTGCCCCTCACCCCAGGACAGGGATGTGGGGAGCCCTCACCCCAGGACAGGACTGTGGGGAGCCTTGGGCATCCCAGGACAAGGTTGTGGGGAGTCTTCATCCTACGATAGGGCTGTGGGGAGCCCTGGGCACCCCAGGACAGGGCTGTGGGGAGCCCTTGGCCCATTGTCCCCATACCTGGGGCCTCTCTCTGACCTCAGTTCCTTCATCAGTGGGAGGTGCCCATGTGCGTACCTGTCCTACACTCTTGGAGTGTTTATACTTGGACCACAGATGTTTTCTGTTACTCAGTCCTGACCATTCTATACAATCTGACAAAGGACCATGACAGGCCATAAGGCGGGGCAGGATGGGGAAGGCTCAGGTCTGCTGTTTGTGGTCACAGGGGATGAGGTGGTTCCAAACAGCAACACCGGGTGTTTAATGTTATCTTTTTCTTTGACTTGATGCTTTCTGAACGACACCTCTCGGTGATGCAAACAGCTGAGCCTTCAGCGCCCAGCTGGAAAGTCTGCAGTCTGAGCACGCTCAGGGGTGCCGTGGGGGAGTCCTGGTGACTGTCTGAGGCCACTTGTGGAGAGGACACCCTCGGTGGAGCACGTGTGGGGCTGCCGTGAATCCACAAAGACCACTGGCCACCTCTTTGAAAGTCTAACTTGCCAGGGAAAGAAAGAGGCACCCACCAGAGGGGACCCCGAGCAGAGGTCCCTCCTGCCCATTGAGGCTGTGTGTTCCCGCCGAGCCAAGCCCCTCGGCAGCCCCTGCTTCCCTTCCCACAAGCCCTGGCTCCCGGTGTGCCCTCACTGAGGCCTGTCCCCACTTGGGCGGAGAGCAGGGCTGAGCCTGGGTGGCTAGCTGACACTGGAAGCAGACATGAAGCTCCCCAGTGTGATGCTGTGGGCGTCCCCCTGGCCGCCTGTCACCATTTTCAGGACCCTCTAGGAAGGGTGACAAGAACGGCAATGACAGGAGCTGAGCATGTCCCCAGGACCATGTCCACATAGCACTGGACACCCGGAGTCTAGCTTTCAGTCACCAGCAGGCCCAGGGCCTCTCTGAAGGGAGCAGGTAGAGGCATGACCCGCTTCCAGCAGCACCTGCCTCCATACCAGGTCCAGTCCTGCCAGAACAGTGGCTGGGGCCTCCCTATCGACTGTCCTCAACTAGAACAGACTGACTGTGTCCCCAAACATCATATGAAGTCCCCCTGTACTGTGACGTGACCACACACCAGCAGGGTGCTGGAGCTCCCAGGTCAGCACATGGGAAGAAGAGGGGCCTAACGCAGTCCACGTGCTGTCCTTGGAAAAGAGCAGGAATGCAGAGACAGAAGAAAGGCCCCACAGAAGGTGCAGCTACAAGATGAGGAAGGTCCCGGGGTCCCAGAAGCCAGGAGAACCAAGAGAAGGCCCTTCTCTAGGCCTTCAAAGAGGACGTGCCCGGCGACCCGACACGGGGATTTCTGGTCTCCACAGCTGAAGGGGATCCAAGCCTGGTTTCACAGGGCTTCAGTTTGTTACAGCAACTCCAGAACACTCACACAGCACCCTCGTCAACCCACAAAGAACTTTCCTCAATCCCACACAAAATCTCCATCCAGCTCACACAGTGCCCTTCACAAAGCCGCCAGCATCCTTTCCAAACAAACTCAGTGCCCTTCCCAAATGCACGCCCAGCACATCCTCCTGAAACTGATCCTCTTCTGAGCCTATGATAGAGTCCAGGAGCAGAGACTCTCAAGGCAGCTAAAAGAGAAGAGTAAAGAATTGAAGGTCTAGAGGGGGAGATAATTTAGGATGGTCGCGATAAAGCCTGACATGGAGAAACCGCCAGACCAGACTCTGCTGGGTTTGCAGACCGCGAACCCAGCACCTCAGCTTCAAGACTGGTGGCCAGGGAAGGGGGGAGCTCGATGATTCTGCAGCTCTGCCCTCGTCAGTGGGGCAGTGGGGACGAGCTTGCCCAGCTTGGCGGCCACACAGCTATGTCCACGCAGCAGGCCTGTGTTCGGGCTACCTTCCCTGTTAGGCCTGGTCACAACGTCCCTTCCATGTCCTTGTCCTTAG